CATGCCAAATCATTAATTATGAAATTTCCCACTGTTTTGCAATAAACTCTATGATCTCTGCACGATAGTAATACAATACACCTAAGTCATAAACAGACTATACGAAGCAACCACATAAATAAAAATATATCAAATACGGCAAGGATGAGAAATAGTTTTTATGACTTAAATGTATATACCGTCTATATGCATATAATGTCTCATAGATGGTATACAATTAGACTGCATCGATTTTAATTGAATTATTTTTTTTTTCGTAAAACATTGTTTGATGTAATCGAGAGGTTCTGAGATGGAGATACCTATTAATTATAATGAGTGAAGATCTTGTTATATCGAGGGAAGCTTCAATATTAATTGCTAGTAAAAACATGACATACCGAATATGGCTGTGCAAATGCCAGCCAAAACTGTCCAAACACCACCAAACGAGCCAAAAGCGTTATATACCTGTTTGGATAAAGCATATTTGATAATTTAAAATGCTTCAAATACAAATAATGATTGAATATGCAAATTAACTTACAGTATGTAATCTTTTGTAAAATAAATATTACAAATTTAGAATCAAAGTTATTTATTCATCTTTATATTATAAATGTAATTTTATATAGAACACACCTCTGCTGTACGCTCTTGGTTAATACAGTTGATTGAAGATAGATAGTTATTGAAATTTGATCTTTGGGTAGGCTTGCGTCAGTTTCTAAAATTGTATTGAATATTAGTACAAATAAATTAAACATATCAATAGTCTATTTTTTTTTTATCTACGTACGTATTCTGCTATTAATAAAGTAATCATAATAATGTTTCGGCGGAATTCCAAGAAGATTTGGAACAGACCAACTAGGGTTTACTCCTTGCATCAATGATCGGGAAATGAAGATTTTGGCATACTGTTTAAAGATAAAGCAATTTAGGCTCAAGTTTGTCATGCAATTATTAATTTTAAACTTTTTATTACCGTCCCAGATGGTAAAATATAGAAATTTAAAAATGCAAGTGATTTATCGAATGCACTGAAGTTGTCAAGTTTAAAGTTGACTAACTCCTTTTCATGTCCTTTGAAAGAATTTTCTTCTAGGTAATAAATTTGGGTAAAGATCTTTTAATAAAAATCTTCTCTCTCAAACCTTGAGTCAGATACGTACCTCCATCAAACAACCAAATAGTCATATAAGTTGCTGAGTCAAGTGTACCATAATCTGTACTATTTATATGAATATCAAGCGTGGTAACATAACTATCCATAGCATAATTATTAAGAATAGAAAATCTGTTTTCCGAATCATGAAAAGTTAGAGGATCTGCTTTTTCGAAATTTTTGAAATACTGTAAACAAGATTTCTCATGTTTTGTATTTTGATCATAAATACACCTAATAGTGAATCTATACGGACAGATAATTACTAGATCTTTAAACATATAAATTTATTAGCCTGTAATAATCCACGTTCGATCATAAACGAAATAATATAAATACCAGGGATTGGGACATTATCTGTTTCATCATCAAAGTAAACTTGAAGAACAGGAATATCTGACTTGATATTATATATCAATATATATAAATACGCTAACATTATAATCGCAAATATAGAAATTGCTACACATTTTCCAAATGCTATCCTAAGCTGCAGAATAATTGACAATTCCTATTTTTTTTTTTAATATTTATACTTTCTAATACGGGTGTTTTCTATCAGTACCATTCTAGTGTTTTAAGCCACATGATTTGGACCGGCTGGCGGGACGCACAGTTTACTTATTTGAGGAATGGACTAGGAAAACCAGGCTTCGGCACTTTTGGTCGATTTTAGGATTTTCAATTCAAATTAAAATATTGGTTCTTATTTATATGGAGTACGCTTTTTATTTTATATTAGCTTAACAAAATATTGAGATTTTTAGATTTGAAAGATCAATTCTTCGAAGACATAGTGCTCTAAAAATAGAATAACAACCAATCATAAGATTGTCAATTTAACTTTGGCAAATTGAATTCAAACATGTGACCTTATGTGATCTTGTTCGCATAAAAAAATTAGGGGAATTTACATATAGGGGCCCGAAAAGTGAAAATAATTACAAATAAGGGCCCAAATTGAAAATAATTACAT